CCTCGTACAGCACGCCCCCGTAGCTGAACACGTCCGACTCGTACGAGTGCTCCTCGCCGTCGATGCACACCTCCGGCGCGATCCAGCACTCCTCTCCGGGGCCGCCGGACGACACCATGGGCGGCGGCCCGGCGCTCCCGTCCACCCCGTCCACCACAGCCGCCGCCGCCGCAGCGGCTGCAGCCACGGGGGAAGGATAGCCCGCGGGCGGCAACTGGTGATGCTTGGACCCATTGCCACCCACCCGGACGTTGTTGCTGTTGATGTTGTTGTTTTCAGCCTTGACAGACAAGAGACCGTAGTCGCTCACCATCAGCCGGAGGTTGTCGAACACCTTGTTCGACGGGGGGGGACGAACAGCAGGGAGAGGGGGGGGGGGGGNCGTCGTGGTAAAATAGCTTTAAGATGGACATGGTTCAGATATTGCGTCCCTTTTCCACCAAGGTGAGGGAGAATATCGATACCCACGGGGCGTGCAGACCAGCTTTCAACGCTCACAGCAGTAGTTCATAGCTGGTTCCTTCGACGACATGAAACGGCATCATCTCACCCCCCCGTCCCTCCCGTCCCTCCCTCGTCAACGGACCGACTCACCGGACATCTCGTGGTGCTCTGGTGGCACGCCGGACTTACGGAATGATCCGTACCGGCTTTAACGGGAGGCGAGGTTGCCATCTTGTGAAGCCTACACAGGGCATGCCCGATCGTCACTTGCATATCCCCCCCCCAGCAAGCATAACACTCACCAGAACGTTCTTGGGCTTGAGAGCGCCGTGCAGGAACCCGTTCTCGTGCAGGTGGAGCATGCCTCTCGCCACGTCGAACGCCATGGCCGCCTTCAACCCCGCTGACAACCGGGGGTGACGCTCATCTTTCCCCCTGCCGCTATCCCCACCGCCCGCCCTCGCCCCTCCCACGGTGCCCCCGGCGCCCCCGCCCACGAAGCCGCCGCTGGGGGGCACAGTTCCGGAGAGAACTCTCCGCAAGACGCCCGAGCCCCGGCCCCTCGCCGACTCAGCGGCGGCGGCGGCAGCGGCGACGGTTCCGGCGCCTTCGTGTAGGAAGGCGTGAAGGCTGCCGAGCGGCGCCAGCGGCATCACCAGGCTCACCCCGTTGGGAGGCGCTGTACAAGCCTGATGAGACATACCAATAGAGGTAAATGTCGGGGAATACAAAAAATAGATTGGGCAAGAGGAAGGCTGTTGGTTGGACAAAGACGTGAGAGAGAAGGTCGGGGGGGGNGGGGGGGGGGGGGGGGGGGGGGGGGGGGGGGGGGGGGGTCAAGTCGCTCTCTGCTTGATAACATGGCACTTTTGGGGTTCTACGCGGTTCCCTAACTGTTGCCCTGACTCCAGTTTTTTTTTTTGTCACATCCGTGGGTGCTTGGGAAGACTGCTGTACATACCGCCCGACACATCGCGTATGCCACAGCAAGAGCAACACCCAAACCACCACTACCGCCACCACACAAAAAAAAAAAACTATTCCCTCACCCCGTAAATCGGGACCAAGAACTCGAAGTGGAGCGCCTGCAGGAGCCTAATCTGCCGCCGCATCGCCGACGCCGCCGCCGTCGGCAACGCCCGTGAACCGCCGCCGCCGCTGTTCCTCTTGCCCGGCCAAGAACGTGTACTCATGGGCGCGAGGAGCTGCTTGACCGATACGCGAGACCCGTGCCACGATGCCTCCACGCACGTGCCAAACGCGCCCTTCTCGTCATTGATTTTGGTGAAGGATAGACCCGAACAACGCAACGAGGGGGTGCCAAGAGCGGGTGGGGGGCAGGTGTCGGCGAGCCACGGCGGCAGAACCAGAGCGGCGTTTCATCACGACTAAAGCCACGCGTGTTCGAACACTTCTCCAAGCTTACCGCGCTTACGATCAGTAAGGTAGGTGGGTGGGTATTGCAACAGCGCTCGCAAACGTACCAATCGCGACTGATGGAGAAGTGGCAAACCTGCCGCTACACAGCAGCAAGAGTTAAGAGTTATCGCTGCGCGTACTCACCAGGGGCATGCCGGAGCCGAACGTGAGGTGCGCGCGGTCGATCTCGGTGAAGCCGGTGATGTCCGAGGGCTCGGCCAGCCTTAGCCCCTCGATCGCCTTCCACAGCTCCTCCCTCTCCTCCACCCGGTCCTCCAGCCTCTCCGAGTGCATCTCCAGTAACCTCTGCATACCGTTGGTTATGTAGCGCCAGCGTTTTAGAAACGTCAGTTTGGAGTCGAGGCTCAATTTCATACTTTCGTCACCACCGTCGAGCATGGGTCATGATATAGAGTTTAGTGTAGGATCCACGGCTGAAGGGAGTGTTTCTTGGTCGAATCTTCTCAAGTTGTCGCCAATGGTTGAGTTTCTTAGTATGATTTTCTCAAGTTATCGCCAAAATGTGAGCCTTTGTTTTTGAAATGTTTGTTTCTCAATCAAGTACTCCACGACGGAGAGGATGCCAACATCAAATTCAACGCATACGGAACTTTGCCTTGGCGTCTATTATGCCGTCATTTCGACACAGCAGTCGCTGATTTTCTTGCTGCAGAGGAATCAATCGTGCCTTGAGAAACCGATTCGAGAAAGGGGCCGTGAATGTCCACTCACTGAAAAAGACTCGGGCACATCCCTTTCGACTGCTGTGGTTACATATCGAACGGGTTGGCCGCAAAGTCCACTCACTGAAAATACTCGAGCACATCCCTTTCGACTGCTATGGTTACTGTGACATCTCAAACGCGTTATATCAAGTGTTTTCATGTAAATTATTGTTGTCAAACAACAAAGTACCCTTGCTATGCTACGGCGGTGGACATACAGACAGACCTGAAGGTGCTCGAAGTCGACGATGCGGTCAGCCCTGTCCTCGTCCGCGGCCCTCGGGAACGCAAGCGCGGCCTCGAACTCGCGGTCTCCCCTCACGGCCGCCACCAGCCTCTCGTTCAGCTCTCGGAACAAGAGCGCGTCGTGCTGTGGTGTTTTTGGCCGTCGCCGTCGCCGTCGCCGTCGCCGTCGTCGTAAACAGATACATACCAGCAGTCGGGTTCGGGTTGCGGACTACCAGTGTTAGCAGCTACGTATGCACATGCATCGGCCGTCGTCGTCGACAGATACATACCAGCAGTCGGGTTCGGGTTGCGGACTACCAGTTGTTAGCAGCTACGTATGCACATGCATATGCAGCGGATTAGGGTCGTCCTAAACGACCTCGGAATTTTACCTGCGATCGCAGGTTTCAGACCCTGGAACGCAGAAAAATAAATGCGGGCGTTTTAAACGAAGCAGAGCACAAAGTTGAAAAAACCTGCGATTTCTGCGATTTTGGCGGTCAAACCGCTCCCGACGACCGCAGAGGCCGTACACAACAGCAGAGGCCGTACACAGCAGACAAACATCCACCATGGCCGACCAAACAGTGTGACACCGCGGGTATCAAGGCCCAGGAGGGTTGGGTCCCTTCCTTTACGGTTCCAGACGAGCGGGGAAGCAGTTGCTGCTGCTGGTTATGGGTTAGGACGGCCTCAAATGCCTCCTGCTGTGGGCATCAGCCCTCCGCCAGGCATGTCTCGCGAGGTCGTCGCCGGGAGTACCGCCGCTCGCTCAGCCCTGCAAGGTCGTCGGCAGGCGTCTAGGATAGATGCTGCGGCACGTACAGCTCAGCGGCCTGTGCTCCTGCCGTTTCAACACCGACCAGGACAAGGAAGGCCATCACGGCGGCCTTGATCGCAGCAGAAGAAGTCGTATCATGGTCTCTTTGGTCGGAGCGCCGCAGTCGCCGCCTTTGCGGAGCCGTCTGTGAGGTTCCCCGAAGCTCCCGGCGCCTTCTATTGTCGGCCATGGACCCTAGCCTACTCTGGCGATCAGTTCTGGGGGTTATAGTGCAGCTACGGGGGTGATACAGGTGGCTTGGTGTGCTGTGCCCGATCCAACGTGATGCTCTCAAGAGAATCGCAGAAATCGCAGGTTTGTACCTGCGATCGCAGAAAAGGAGCAGAGGTGATTTTTTCGGCCCTGCTCCCGACCTGCGATCGCAGGTAAAAAGCTTCCATATTCGCAGGTAAAACCTGTGATCGCAGGTTTCGCAGTTTTTTTTGGCCTGTTTAGGTCGACCCTTAGTTATTGGCATTTCATGTGTGTGAATGTACCGCACAACAAGTAACAAGGTGCAGTTCGCACGCGCTTTTCGGGACGAAGAACAATTTTGAAGAAAATGCTACCATCACCCTTGACTACTGTCTGTTGTGGTGATGTCTCGGACGGGCAGCAGTCTCTGTGACTGAAACTGCGTTCTCTAACGCTTTGACCACTGTCCGGATCGTAAAAATATATTTCCTTGTAATACTGGAGGAGGTGGACTTGAAAAATTTCATGTTTTCAACACTGGTATTTTTTTTTTTCTCCAATCATTGGACGCTGTCGTCTGCCCCTCTGGCCCCTATTCTCCACTTCTACCAGCTAGACGACCCAACCGGGGTCACATAGGAGGGGGGGGGTTGGTCCCCGTCCTGCGGTTCCTGCCTGAGATATTTATATTGCGAGAAGGGTACAGCAATGTACGCTTAGGCTGCCCCCCCAGCGTTCAACAAGGGGAGGTGCGGACCCTTGTTGTAGGAGTACCCAGTTAAATACAGGTTTTGGGTCCTGAAAAAATCGCGTCCGCTCATTGAGAGAGGCCTGTACAGCAGCAGTAGTCCCGAGGGCCGAAGGCTGACTTGACTTCTGTACATGGAAAGTCAACTGGGGAGACACGTTTCCATACTGAAGCCAAGTCAGCAAGATTTTCCAGTACTAGGCCATGTACCGGTACAGTTTCACCAAAAAGGGGACCCGCGGCTTGAGAGATTGAGATTGATTGTGGTACAACATCAAGTCAGAGGCCCAGGAGACGCACACGCAGGCATCACACAGCAGAATATCACACAGCGTACCACCTTCACCACCTCACACAAGCATGCTATAGCTAGACCAAGGTTTCCCGCGCACGTTTCACGCGGCGGAGCATAGTGATGACGACCGCGGTGCGGTGAACAGGCGTTGAGTGCTGTATCCCCGAAGTGTCCTCATTTGGGCTTTCCAGTACTACAGGTGTACTGCTGTAAAGGTACTGTTTGGTGATTGAGCCATTGAGTCCACCGTGACTTAGTCTTGGAGGCAATCCATTCGGCACTCAAGCGCGCCAGGACACGGGTACATCTTCACACGTGACGTCCATGTTGTTGTCGTGTGCAAGTATTTCGTTTAGACTACATGCTCACGAAAAATAAACATGCACAGCCGTGATACACTTTCGTTTCACCACAAGATATACTGCAATGATATTTGCATGGTAGACTTGAGAGCAAATCAGACCGTCGGAATACAGTTGGCGCCCACAGTTAAGAATATATTGATAAGAAATTGAGGCTCACTTTTTCACGAAAAATACGAAAATAGGGTTAAGTAACATAGCTCAATCTGGGTCACACAATAAGAAACACAGCGGCGACCGCTCGATCAGTCGATAGTGAAGCGTGGGGTTCTCGTGAAAGTCGGGTTAGGTTAATTAGTCGCAGCTCTCACCCCGCTTCGCGGCAGGAGTACGACTACCGCGTCATCCTGCACCGTAACGAAAGCACGCGTAGCATGAAGATAGATGCCGTTGGAGTCGTACAGCACGGATGAAGACGCCGCAATTGGGGCGTGGGTTCTCCTAGAGGTAGACCCAAAGGAAGGGAGCGGGAGGCGCAAAAGGGTGACAACCCCCGATGTTCGCCTCACGGAGCTTGCAACATAATGACGGGATAGTTTTCGTTGTTGGCACGTCAGGGTGCGGGTGAGGCATCATGCGGTGTTTATGCATTTGTTTAGTTTCAGCCCTCACTCATGAGGGGGGTAGAGGACCTTGGAGCGATAGCGAGACGTTGCCGCTGGATACATTTCGCTTCTAGGGAGTGTGGCCTTACGTGCAGCCGTCGGTAGTGAGAATCGGGGTTGAGTACGGGGGTCGAGTAAAGCAGTGCAAATCGTTTGTTTATTTGGAACGTTGTGTAGTATGCAAGCAGAGAAATAAGAAATTGCCGATTTAAGAAATTCAGGAGGACTTGGCTGCACGAAAAAATAAGGAACTTGAAATAAGAAACTGAACGACATACGCTGCGTTTATGGCCCACAGTAAGAATTCGGGGCTGGACCTGAAAAAAGCGTTTCTTACCTGCGGGCGCCAACTGCTGTACAGCCCGGAGTATTACTAGATGCGTAGCATGAACGTTACATCACTCCCATCCCAGCTGGACATGAGACAAGAGCAAGTGGCCTTCTCGTGTGCTCTTCACGTCTTACACCAAGGACAAATAAATATGACCCGTGATGATGATCGATCAGTTTAGAGTGCCGATATCACCGCCGTCGTTGTTGTTATAGCTTTGAGCGGGTGGCGACACGGGCCCGTGGCCTCTTGCTATTTTTCCGAACGAGGGAGGTAATCACACGACAAAACACCCCATCCCTGGGTGCGTGCCCTCCCGGTCGTAAAACAAGCGACGACAGGAAACACGCAATCACGGCAATTTTATTCTTGTCCTTTTCCCTCAAGTTACTGCAGTATCATCATTCTCCTGCTGCTGCTGGTGATCTAGAACTGCTGCCGCTTGCTTGCGAACGGAGGAAGTAGTGCCTGCCGTAGGTACGTACGTAGTCACACATAGTAAAGGGATTACGACCACGTGCAGTCAGCTAGCTGAGGAACACACAACTTGGCTGGACGAAGAGCTTCACAACAGAAGTATCAGCAAGCTGTTCGCAGCAACCGGTTCTGCCATTGTACTCTTTAGAGCCACAGCAGCAGGCCTGGGATGCGGGGTGTATACATCAGATAAACGATAATGTGGCAAATAACTTTCGGATCCGAAACTAGCCCACCGGTGCTGCTGCTGCGGTCAGCGGTGTAGTTCGTTGTATGATGTGTGTGCGGCGGGAAGGAAGGGCTTCCGTTTCAGACCACAACGTCTCGTGTGTGCCGCGCGATGTTTGGGCGACTTTGCGGCATCACACTGATACCCACATGCAAACCAACAACAACATGTAGAGTCGCCTGCCTTTTACACCAAGCAGCAGAAAATAATGTGCTGAGGAACGCAGCAGCAGAGACGTTGCAGACCACAACGTCTCGTGTGTGCCGCGCGATGTTTGGGCGACGTTGCGGCATCACA